GTGAGGTCGGCCCTGCTGATCCGCGGCCTCTGCCCAGCACAGGACCCCACCCGGGCAGACGGCCGTGGCCGCTCACCCCGAGGGCGGGGCGCCTGCTGGGGGCTCGCAGTCGGAGCTTCAGGAGGAGCGGGATGCAGCCTGGGCTCTGCCCCCCCCAGGCCTCCTGCACGGAGCGGGCACGGTGGGCGCTGCGGGCGGAGGAGAGGCGGCGGTCAGCAGGAGGGCACTCAGCCGACAGAGCCGTCTTGTTCCTCCTGTGTCATCCTGAGACCAGCCACCCCGTCTGCAGATGTGGCCCCAGGACCCGCCATGGGGAGTCCCCTGCCACCTCTGCTCTTTCTCCCCGAGTTCAGGGAGGGACACACCCCCTCTCCCCAGCCTCCTGTCCTTCATGTCTCAGAAGAGTGCCTCCTCCTACAAGAAGTCTTCCCCGATTGACCTGTTGAGAACGCTGGAGTCTGGACACATTGGGCGTAAGCCCAGGTGGCTGTGCGCTGGCCGCCTTCGCCATGGGAGGGGAGAGGGCGCCCTCCTGTGCTGGGCCCGCTGGAGCCCGGAAGGTCTGACACTGCCTGTGCGGGGGGGCGTGCCAAGCATAAGCCGCATCCTGGGGTGACGGGGGACAGCAGACACAGCAGGCGGCCGAGGCAGCGCTGCAGGAGGAAACCCTCCCTCTGTCTGCACCCCTGGGGCAGCGTCTTCGTTCCCCGCTGGTCAGAGGTGGAGTGAGCGCCCATGTGGGCGTCGGCCGGGGAAGGTGGTTCTGAGTCCTTCCTGATCCCTGGCTGCAGACTGACCCAACGGGAGTCCCTGCGTGGCCAGGAGGAGGCGCGGTGGCCACACGTCCCTGCTGTAAGCTGTCCCGGCTCTTCACTGCGGCCCCAGACACGGGCAGGCTGGCACCGTTGCCCGTAGCGTGAGGAGCTGCGGCTGAGGCGGGCAGCGGGCAGTCAGGAGGCCTGGCTTGCTGCCTGGGAGCGAGTGACCCTGGGCCTGTGGTTGGGGCGCTCGCCAAGGGGTCCCCACGAGTCATCAGCTGGAACGGAGCCCAGCAGAGCGTTGAGGGGCGGCCCGAGAGCCAGCCTCCAGGCCTCGGTCACTGTTCCCAGCCCCCTCCCGGCCTGACGGCGCTAGAACAAGCGGGAGAGGGGGCTGCGGGGTGAACGTCCAGGAGGATGCGTGGTGAGCTGTGGCTGCCTCCTGCCCGGCCCCGTCACGCGGCGGCCGCACCCACCATCCGCCCAGCTGTGTCCCACCCCACCGAGTCCCTCCAGCCCTCAGCCCTTCCTCCCGGCATCACCCTCTGAGCCCAGGCTCCACGCCAGGTGGGCCAGCTCACCCCCTGCCCCACGGGTGGGGGACCCCTGGCCCGGCCTCAGGGGTGCTGAGCCTGTGACCCGTGGCCCCCGTGCAGGGCGGCCGCCTGCAGAGCCGCAGGGCCCGCGTCCACCAGCAGATCAGCAAGGAGCTCCGGATGCGGGCGGGCGCTGAGAA